AATCAACATTGTTAATTTTACAATATTTCAATTATTATATTATATTGACAATGATAAAAAAATTAAATAAGTAAATAATATAAATACTATTTAATCAAATAAAAAATTTAATTAATTACAAAAATTATAAAAAAATTAAAATTTAAATATTTTATCTGGGCCGATTCATCGACCCAGATGCCCGACTGTTAATAGTCTGGTAAACCGACTGTTAACAGCCGGCCCAGACTGTTAAACAATCTGGGCCGACTGTTAACAGTCGGGTAAACCGATTGTTACTGTCGATTTTAGGCGTTTTAACGCTCGGTGGCCGGGAAACGACCGGAAACCGCCATTCCCGGCCACTGAGCTCCATACAATGGATCTAATTTCACATTCCAGCATGCCCATGGATCTAATTTCAACCAAAATTACTAAGGATGCTAACTATGAAAAAAAACATTCGAACTGGAGTTTTGATCAGAAAACTAACCGGTTCTTTTACTTCCACTGTAGATGATGATCGTTGATTGCGACGTTGGTGGAACTCCGGTGGTCGGATTTCTGCACTGATCGGTCGGTTCGATCGGTGAGAGAATTATCAAACAGTCTGAAGGGTAAAATGGGAAAATACTGTGAAGTTTTCTTTTTAACGTAATTTGTTTTTTTTTTTTAATTCATTTAATTGGTCAAAGGCCAATATCAATTTTTGCTACCGTGTATGGGTCATTTTTGTGTATTTCCTCGGCATAATACCATCCTCTTAGAACACTTAACACGAAAGGAGAGAAAATTTTACAGAGCAGATAAATGAATTTTTTTTTTTAATTAAATAAGTTAAAACCAACTAGATAAATCATTTTTCTCCATACACATTTCCCAATAATGGTAGAGGGTAAAATATAGATTATGAAGTACTTATAAAACCAACCCGGCAATATGATAAAACGATATCACAATTCGCTAGAAAAGTTAAATCAGCTCAAAATTTAAATATTAAAATAAATGGTACGCATAAAAAAAATTAACCCAAATTAATTTGGGGAATAATTTCACTCCTCAGAGATACAAAAAAGAGCAAATTTTCTTTTTAGTAGTTTTACAACATTCACAACTCTTGTACAGCTGCAAATCTAGGCTACCGCTTCTGCAACAAAATTTATGGGCTATTAACCATAATAAACGGAGCTTTTGAACTACTTTACTCGAACAGTATTGTTCAGTCATGAATCGGTTTTCCTCATCTTCGTCTTGGAATTAGCTGGTACTTGACCGTAGAGGCCTATACGGAAATTACCTTCAAGCAGCCGATGGTGAAAATGGCTTTTATACAAGTCCCAAAACTCATCTCTGTCAAATGCGCATAGAAAAAGATAACAAATAAGATTTGCAAAATGAAAATTTTTTAAGAGTGAAAATCTTAATGAATATACTTGATAGTAACAAGGAATCTACGGGAAATTAATGCCAAACCTGACTTGAGGAAGTGTGAACAAGGAATATCCCTTAACATCTGTGTGCATGTCGAGCACAATCACTGCTAATCGAGATAGGCCCAGTGCCTCCATATCGATTAGTTTCTTAATCCTGTATAAATTCGAAAAGAAATAATTAAAAAGATAAAAAGAACTCAACTATTCTTCCAGTAAAAGCTGCTGTTGACTCCACATCAGTTTAATTACTCTCTTCTTGTTTCCAAAAACAAAATTTTGTTTCACTTATCACTCAATTAATCTTCCTTTGAAAGCAAAGTATATAATCTCAACTTACATTTGACAACTGTCAGAATCTAAATCAGTCTGTCTTAATTAAAATTCATAAACGATTCAAGGTGAGATTTAAAATTGGCTATTTCAAGATACTGAAGTCATCATAATCCGTTCATAAGATTGGTTGAATAGACGGTTTCACAGATAGTAAAATTCTTCTTGTTTCATATTCCTACATATTTTACTTCTTGACCAATTAATACATTAATCATGCATGTATCAAGCATGCATTGGTATCTAGTACATTTTAACAAGTGGAAGAGCCGGAGAGGGTTGTGCATAATCCAGTGTTGTATTATTACCTACCCACGTCCTTCAGTATTTTGCCTCCAGTCGAGGACTAAAAGGTAAATCAACTTTGTAGTTCAGCTTCCTGTCACACTAAAATTTTCTCCATGTCAGTTACTCCTTACTCCTATGCTACACCGCTTATTAGCTCCCTCTACTTGCTTTTGAACTTTTACAGATACTGCATCCAAGACATGTCCAGTATTCAACTTCTTATACCACTAACTATCCAAGACAAAAATGAATCGAGGACATAAGATTTACAACTTGCAACAGTAGGTCACTATGACTAATTTTTTTGCTTCTTTGAGAATCTGCAGCTCTAAAATCTCATTAGTTTCTTTGAAATTAAAGCATCAAAGAAATTGCATGCCGTGATCATGTAGCTAAATAAGCCACTCACAACGAGTACAAGAATTTAAAATCTTAATACACTTAATCGGTCTTTCTTCTGGCTTTAAAAAGGGTCTGTTTTATTTCATAGAAAAAAATATGGCATGGGGGATCAAAAAAGTTGAATATAAGCGACTATATAAATGGTATAATTAAAATTAAATTAAGGGTGGTGGCCCTAGAGCCAGTAAAGGAGAAAGAGAGGGAGTGCAGGTATGAGTAAAAGATCATAATCAACATATGCAAGAAAGATCATCACAAACCTGGTAGGTGTTCCACAAGCAATATTGACACGACTCTTTAACAGGGACACCTACAACAGCACACAGAGAGCAAATACAAGTTCAAACTTCAAGAGATGAGTGAAAGAGATAATAAGATGCAGGAGCAGGACAGAGAAAGAAGATAAAATGAGGCCACCGTTCTTTATAACCATGGTGGCTGTGTAGTTGTTTATCATTTGTTTTGATGTAGGACATATTCCAACTGCTTAAACAGATAAAAAAATGTGATACTAGAAGTAGTCTGATAGATGTTAGTGTTTGTTTAAAGGGGTTTGGGAGAAAGAGAGGCAGCAAAAAAAGGGATCAGGGATGAGTTTTAGAGGCAGCAAAAAAGGGGATCAGGGATGAGTTTTACTATAGTTCAATTTAGGCTTCATGTGGTTGGTTGAGACACGAGAGCGACAAGGCATTACCAGGCTACCAGCCTAAATTGATGCAAATTAAAATCCACAGTCACATCACTATTCAAGCACGTCGTGTCACATAATTTGTTCACAACTAATTTGATGTTGGTCAGAAGTAAGAACTATTACCTGCTCCTCAATCTTCATATGCTTAGAGAATAACTTTGCAGCATGACATTCTTTTGTCAAAGGACGCAATTCTCTGTAGAAGTAGAATATTTTGTTCAATGGTATTGACCAAAAATCATATAGAAAATATGAACACATTGAAATAAGCAACAAAATTGTCAGGTCTCGCAAGAGTGAATGATAGATGCGCAATAAGCACAAATATTAAAATTACATAATTTATTATTTGAATGCATGCAAGGCATCAACCTGAGAAGTTCCAGTGACCTCAGGGCAGATAGACTTATTACAAGAACTGCTGNTTTATTATTTGAATGCATGCAAGGCATCAACCTGAGAAGTTCCAGTGACCTCAGGGCAGATAGACTTATTACAAGAACTGCTGGATTCCCAGGATCAACTTTCCCTTCTTGAACATGTTTTTCACAAAGCACTTCTTTCCACGATGGCCCAAAAGCAACCTTGATATGCTGACCCAAATTGCTAATATCCTGAGCAGGACCCTCACATAGATCAAGGATGCATGTGTCTGCTTAATACAGAAAAATTAATCGCAATAATAAATTATATTCTGATTAACACAGAGTAATAAAACAAGATGAAGGGACTACAATGAAAAATATTTAACACATTATTTATTAAGTTGGACAAAAGGCAATCAATCAGCATCTTTCCACACAACAAATCACGCATCATTCCCAAGATAGTATAAGTGATTTCTCTCCATGGCACTTCCAATCATATTTCTTGAAGCGAGGTCCTAGACTATAATGATTTGAAAAGATAGATAGTGAAATTTTCAGGTTTTCATAAGTTTGCTAATTGACAAGAGATTACTGAATATGTACCTAGGCTGTGATAGAGATTTTTGCTGAAACAGAACATCATCTTTGCCAAAACTACTTGCATGATTTGCTATCAAGAAAAACGGTAATTTTATTTAACCATACCAGCTAAATTTTGTTCCGTCGTTGTTATACCTAAATTTTTCTACAATTTTCAAAGACTTTTATCTTATAGTATTAGCTACTAGTGACGCCACTAGTTAGTCCAAACCCAAAGATTTCCGATGCTAATCAAAAACTGTTTCCATTCAACATATTACTCAGAAAAAATCCAACAAAAGTAACAAAATTCAAAAAATATATATATATTTATAATTCGATATCAATTCTAACACATACAACCACATGTGTGTACAAGAAAGGGAGAGAGCCAGACCTTTGAGGGATTCTAGTTCGAGAGACGAAAGCTGAACGCCATTGGCAGATTGATACTGGTGAACGAAAAATCTCAGCTGCAGAGAAGCAGTCGCCAGTTGAACGCCATAGTTTCCATCGTTTTCTGCTGCTTCCGTGCTTTCAGTTACGTTCTTCTTTTCACGGATTTTGGTGCTATCAATTAACGTATTCCCACCGGAATTCTTTTTCTTCTTCTTCTTCTCCTTGTCCTTTGATTTAGTTTTACTAATTTTAGGTCTTTTCGAGTCCAGAGGCAATTGCTTCTTTTTCCGCTTTGAGGGGGTGGCAGAAGAGGGTTTTGCCGCCATGGTTGATTCCGAGAGCAGCTATGCGTGCTTCCGGCTAGGTTTGGGGAAATTTTTTAACGCATGCCTGGTGGAGGGGTGGGGACGAGTAAATTTTACAATGTTTTTGTTTACGACATCCTTTTTTTTACGACATCCTTTTTTTTTAAGAGATCCTTTTTTTTTTTTAATAATTACAGAAATTTCACCTATCAGAATAAATTGCTTATTTTACATTTTGCCAATTATTAAATATAAAGTTATACTTTGTTTGCCTTTTATTTTAATTTGGAAAAAGACAATAATTTTTTTATCTTTTTGTAAAAATTGATTTGTCATAATCATATTTTGTGAAAATTGATTTCTAATTTTTTTCCCCTAAATGAACAAACTATTATCTAAGACATTTAAATAAAATAAAAAAGGTAGAGGTAGAGCTTTAAACATTTGATGCCATCTATATTGCATTTATATTGTTACCATGATATTAAATTATTTTTTTATACTTAATATAATATAAATATTAAGCCTTTGTTTGAGCCCCATTTTGAGGGAAAAATGAATTCTTGAATTGTGTATTGATGAAAAATGCGTGATTAAAAAATAAGAAAAAGTTTTAAATTTGTGTATAATATTATTTTATTAAAAAATGTGTGATTGAAATGATATCAAAATACTGTTGAAAAATACATTTTTCTAATAATGGGGCTCAAACAAGGGCTAAGCGTATAAAAATTTAAAAATTAGAGAAAGTGCTACTAAATCAAGTGATTCAATAATTCTTAATTAGCCTTTTAAATTATTTAGAAATTTTTTGTTGGTATGTTAATTATTTGTGAAACATGTTACAGTTAATAAATAAATAGTGTATTATAATTCTTAGAAGGTCAAAAAAAGGGGTTAATTTCACAAACAGTCGCTGAACGTACCTGAAAAATACAAAACGATCACTAAAGTTTAAAACTTGCAGAAACAGTCACTGAAGTTTAGAGTGTTTTTAGAAACGATCACTAAAGTTTACAAACTTGCAGAAACGATCACCAAAAATTTTCAGATTTTTGAGGCAAGGTTTGCGACAATTTTTCGGTGACCTTCGACTATCAAGACTGTCAAATTTGATTATCTTTGGAAATCACACAATGTCATCTTCAATTACTATCTAAAATCTCTCCATAACTCCAAAAGATTTGGCCGGAATAAGCCCACAAAGTCAGCTTCCCGAAATCTAAAAATCTGTCCAGATTTTTCAAATTTTTGGGCGAGATTTGCGGCAATTTTTCGACAATTTCCGATCACCAAGACCGTTGGAAATTCAACAATGTCATCTTCAATTATCACCCAAAATCTTCCCATAACTCCAAAGGACTCGCCGAAAAAAGCCCACAAAGTCAGCTTCCCGAAATCTGAAAATCTGCCCACAATTTCAGATTTCGGGGAGCTGACTTTGTGGGCTTAATCTGATTGAATTTTTTGGAGTTATAGGGAGATTTTTGGTGGTAATTGTTGGGAATCTACTTATACATGCACAGCGGAATTTAAAATAATTTTCGATTCCCACCAAAAATCGCCTTTGTGTTTAGATAGAGATTGTGACAAGATTGTACCTTTTCCAGATCTGCAATCTTTTTGCTTTTCTTTTCGTTCCATCAACCTTGATTCGCCACCACAGCTGTCCAATTGTCCAGCCTCTAACGGTAATCCACACAGAGAATAAGATTGCAGTTTTTAGGGTTTCTCTTGTGCCAGCAAGAATAATGAAAACCTTATGGACTTTAAACCCTAGTTATGTATTTATATAAACCCAAACAGGCTCGGCCTGGTCCGGTCCAATAATTAATTAATCCAATTAATTAAACCCGGTCCGTGAATTAATTAATCCAATTAATTAATTCGAAAATATAAATAACAAATCCAATTAATTAATTTATCCAACGATTATTAAATTAACCAATTGGCAATTTGCAATCTTCCAATTCTCTTTTGTGTGTGACCCATTAGGTTCCCGACCACGATACCTAACGACGTGAAATATTATTTTGATCTAATCAAAATTGATAAATTAAAACACCCTTTTAATTTATCGTCAATTTACATTCGCCGTCCCTGATTGACATCTAGCAATGTGTCAGGGCAATACATGTGACGGAAAATGTCACGTGGTATGACAAAACCAAATTCGTTCGTTTACCGTGAAACTATAATCCCTTCGTCAATATGATTCGATCAATTACGAGATATGAAGTTGTGTCAATCTCGATCATCGATCATATCTTTCACTCCACTATTAAGTCAATATAAATCGAAAACTCCTTTTCGACTTATGAGTACACCTTGGCCAAAGATTTCATCATTGACTTAATTAAATGAAACGCAGAGCATAATCTCCTATTATCTAAGAGCGACGAATCCTTTATTGATCAATCACAACCTTCATACGATTCTTGACGTACCCGAACGATGTCGTATTAGCGGCTCTTTTCAGAGCAACATCCAACACCGCCAAAGTATGACTGTCCTCATATAAGGTACCATGACGACCTCAAGTCAAAGGACCAATTTCACTACCGAACGTTAGAGATTAACCACCGACACTCAGATAGTTATCCATGTGGAATCTCTCGACGGGTCTCCAATGTTTTGTTCTATAACAAAACATCCACGTGTTCATTTAAGTGTCACTACACTTTAACTTGTGAGATCAGCTACTTACTTCACAAGTAAGAAATGCCACACGTGATGGTCTATCCGTAATAACGATATCCGTATCTCGTTATTACTTACGACCACGGATGATTTAAGATTCAATCAGATGTAATTTGTATCTCACAATCACAACTCATTGTGATTAACAAATTACAAGTATTTGAATCTACGGACTCTATTATTTATTTAATTGTCTATTAATTAAATAATATATCTGTCATTTAATTGCATTAATTACATATAAAAGTATTTATGTCCAAAGTTGATGGGACCTAGAGCATAATACTTACAGTAAGTGAAAAGGACATTGTGGGCTTTCCAATGGTATCAAAATCCGACCGTCTTGGTGGTCGGAAAGAGATGATAAATTGTCACAAATGTCGCTCGAAAATTTAAAAAATTTGGGTGACCATTTCTGCAAGTTTGTAAACTTCAATGACCGTTTTTGAAAGCGCTCTAAATTTCAGTGACCATTTTTGCAAGTTTTAAACTTCAGTGACTATATTGTAATTTTCTGATAAGTTCAGTGATCGTTTGTGAAATTAACCAGTCAAAAAACACAATATGTGTCTCTAATCTTTGGTCAAAATAACAAAAGTACTATCAATTCCCGTCCTTGTGGTAGCTGACACCATCAAGATCCAATAACACCACCACTATTGTAACTGCAATTGCAACGTGTGTATGTATACATATACTATTCATATTTCACACACACACACATACACATATATACACAGGTAGGATACTAGCCATCATTGCCTTGCCCTCCATTATCCTTTTCACAAACACCATGTGAAGAAATCTCCATCACCCACGAACTAGGTAGGGGAATCCCTATGGTTGTAGCATCTGAAAAATTCATTCTATTTTTCCTATATTTTCAAGTAAACTTATTTAATGTTGATGCTGGACGGGAATTATTCAAATTGACAACAATTAAATGAGATTGCTAAACTTATTTTATGTCTTCGTTTTTAGCTCTCTTTTTCTTCTTCATAGTTCAATTGTTTATCATTCCATAGAAGATATAACCTAGTATGATGCCAGCCTTTGAAACAATCTAGTGCAACATCAAGGATTGAAAGCCCAAGAATAACTAACCAATAGGGGGTGAATTGATTTTTAAAACTTTTTCGAAAAAAAAACTTAAATAAAGGAAGCAAAGGATATGCTGATCAATTAATAATTATAAATAAATAAAAGCAAGTAGATCAATCAAATAACAAACATAAATAAGATAACAATAAGTAAAGGGGTGGAGAGGATTCAAGCGATCTAATTGTGGAGGTTCAAATAAGATAACAAATATATACATGGTTTTAAAAGATATTATACAAAAATATGTTATGCAAGAAATGGTTCGAAGTTCTATTTTTGATAATTCTAGTGTGAACAAACTTGTTATCGATAAATTTATTTATGACTTTAACCCTGCATTTGAAAATTTATTTTTTCATAAACACTGTGTATACCACATTATCAATTTGATTGTAAAAGATGGATTAGAATATATAAAATTGCCTTTAGATAAAATTAGACAAGTAATAAATTTTATTACAGTGTCAGTAACTAGAACGTAAGCATTTAACAATTTGTGCACAAAGTAAGGCTTCCAAGAGAAATCATTTGTCATTTATGTAATAAATAGATAGAACTCTACATATCTAATGTTACATTGTTGTGAAATTTATGATAAAAATTATTTTACTATATTATAATGTTAGGCATACATATCGACTCAAACATAATTTCAAAGATTGATATGGTCAATTGCATTTTGTGTGAAGAAATTTTTAAAATCTTTTTTCATTGTCACAAAAAGAATGTAGTGATATTTATTACCCTACAACTTCATTTATTTTACAAAACTTTTTCTACACTTCACAAACCTTTCATAAATATAGGAATTTGTCAATTTTTGTTGATGTAGTCTACTCGATGAAGTTAAAATTTCGTAAATATTGGGAAAAATTGCCCTCTTTATTTCTTTTAGTTTCGATGATGGATGCTCAATTTAATTTAACTAGCACAAAAGTTATTATAAAGGGAATTTCAAATTCATGAATTTGGAATTATCACATGTGCATAGAATCTAAATTATGTAAAATGTATAATTAATACGTTGAAATATGGCACATCTCCTCTATACTTATCGCACCTGCAAAAGTTTCATAAAATCACACAAAAATCAAACGCATCTACCATTGCAATAGAAGAAAAGGAGGGAAAAAAAATAAAAAATGAGAAGCTATTTTGTCATTTCATTTCTGACGGTCAGACAAAGACTTTATATTTGAGATATATTTCTTCATATATGATAAATTGAAATTCCAAAAATTACAATGTCCAAATTATAATTGTATTTTAAAAGTTATGGAGATTGATTTGACAAGGAGACTATAAACTAGCAA